CACTAAATGAGCCCTGAATTACATGTCCATACAGTTCACACCATTTACATACATTTCCCGACATTGAACCCCATTTTCAATTGGTTTGCAATTAGTTTGTATTTCATATCAATTTAATAAATTATTTCAATATTCTTTCAATATAGGGATCCATTAATATCTGATATTTATTAACACAAAAATAGTTTGTAGTAAGTTAATATAGACATCTAATAGTAATAAGACCAATGACCTAGCTAAGTTCCATTTCCCGTTCATGAAACCTTAATTCCCCAAACCAACTACTCTAACTTGTTGCAATATATTTATATTTTTACTTATTATAATTGCAATATATATTATTAATGGATTTCGACATACTGTGTATAAATGAATCATAAAATGAGTGGTGGCAATGTCTAACGTGAAACCCCTAATCCAATGGGTTTACCAATAAATCGATAGCATTGTTGTGAAACAAAACACAACTCATTATAAAATTAATAATTAATGTTAAAAGTGTTTGAAAATGTTTGGATTGGAGTTAATTATGGTTTATAATGATCTCCAATGAGTGATAAGTTGTTAAAAAGTAGTTTAGGTTTAATTGGTAGCAATGAGTTGAGGTCTAGTGGTCTAGTGGTGAGTGAGTGTACAGTTTGGAGGGATTCCTGTATTGAGTGCTCTCTATAAGGCATACGATTAGAGAAATATTTTAACAAAACTTTTGTGACATTTATTGCTTTATTGAATACAAAAGCGATTGTAATTGCAGTGAATATTACCGTCATTTGNCTTCAACCGTATTGTCTGTAATTAAACGAAACACTCGAACGACTTTCTTTTGGCCGATTCTGTGAGCCCTGTCCATCGCCTGGAGGTCCACCTGAGGGTTCCAATCGGAGTCATACAGAATAACCACATCAGCCGTCGCTAAATTGATTCCCAGACCTCCAGCTCTTGTGCTCAACATAAATAGGAAGCGATCGGAATCGGGTTTATTAAACTCATCGATCTGTCGCTCTCTCTCCTCGTGAGATGTCTGTCCATCTAATCGGCAATATCTATATCCTCTCCACAGGGAGTAATCCTCGAGAATGTCAAGCATTCGAGTCATTTGGCTGAATATAAGGACACGACTGCCCTCCTCCTCGAAACGGGGCAACAGTTTGTCGAGAATAGCCATCTTTCCGCTGTTGTCCGCCAAATGCTTGTCTGTGGTATAGGGAGGGCCGGGCTCTGCGCCGTCAAACAGATACGGATGGTTCGCACACTTTCGCAGTTGCATTAAAATGTTAAGTAAACGCATTTTATCCATCTTTCCGGCGCCGTTCACTATATCGATGTCTTTCATCAGAATCTTTGTATACCATTCCCTTTGCATACGACTGAGTCCCACATAAATCTTAGTTTCCTTCTTAGGCTTCAATTTCTTCTCCACTTCACTCTTAAGACGTCTCAAGAGAAAAGGTCTCAAAACTCCGTGCAATCTCTCGACCAGAGAGTTGTCGCCAACCAAACAGTTATTTGTGTTAAACCAGGCGTCGAAGTCGTCGGACGAGTTGAACACATCCGGCAACAGGAAGTTGAGTAAAGCCCACAACTCATGCAAATTGTTCTGAAGGGGAGTTCCCGTGAGAAGCAGACGATTGGTTGACTTGAATTCGCGGATGATTTCGGAGAGTTTGCTCTTTTCATTCTTGATGCGATGCGCCTCATCTATCACTATATACCTCCAGTTGAACTTCTTCAGCACCGCCTTCTCACGGATTATCATCTCATACGAAGTGATACATACGTCCCACTCGTTAGGCGTTCCCAACAAAGTGTCGCGAATGAGAGCAGATCTGGTCTGTTGGTCACCGATAAGGCAAACGGCATTCAGTGAAGGACACCATCGCTTCACTTCATTCATCCAATTAGTAAGAGTCGATTTGGGAGCGATCACCATATGAGGGCCCGGGATGTTCCGGTAGTGCTTCATATACCCCAACAAACTAATCGTCTGCAAAGTCTTCCCTAAACCCATCTCATCGGCCAGTATTCCATTGATTCCGTTCTCATGAAGACTGATCATCCAATTCAGACCTCGGATCTGATAGTCTCTCATTTCGCCGTATTTTATATAACTGGGACTCTCTTCGAAACGGATCACATTCAGTGACTTCTTTTGGGCCGTCAACAGCTCCTCATCCTCTTCCTGTTCAGTCATGCGGTGTCTGTGATCCGTGGCATCGGTTGACAGGCGAGGCTTTGGTGGAGACACCGGTTCCGAAGACTTAGTTTTGGGTTTGCGTCCGGGTTTGGCTTTAGTGGGCACCGCTTGGGTGGACCCATGATTGCCAGATGTCATGAAATGCGAGAATATCTCCGTCTGTTTGAGGAGATAATCAAATCGTTTAGATCTGTCGCCGTCTAACGTGGCGTTGAAGTCCGCCGAAGAGATTATTTGAACCAAATTCTCGCCGATCACTGACTCGGCAGGAGTTCCGCTCTTTGACTCATCTGTTGCCACAAACCACTCATTAGTGTCCAACAATCACACCATTCATGTCAATACAAACCATTCTCCTCCTCGTCCTCCTTGTCGTCATTGGTCTTGTCGTCAGTATTGGTGGTGTCCTCGCAGTCATCGTTCGCTTCATTCAAATCGCTCTCTTCTTCTGGTTTAGACATCTTTTGGCCGCAAATATGAGACAATCAGTGAAACCAATGAAAGCCTTAATTCATATAAACATTGAGCGAAAGCCGGGAAACCAATTGATGCCTCAAATGAATGCATCGATTATTCAAATCTATTGTCGTTTTTGTCTCAATTCACTGCAGAGCCACTCATTGGCACCGGTAGTCAACTATTGTCTCAACCCTTCCGTCTAATATTGTGTCCGCTATTTCTGTCTATTATTATGCCATGAATTGCATGTAAGCGGTGATGAGTTGATCCCAAGCGGTGATAGTCTTGTAAATGATGGATTAAAACGTGTTAATTGTGTAATCGTTTGACCCAATCATAGAGTGGTGTGTATTGTGAACACAAGTGGCGCTCACATCACACACACAGCAACTGCCACTAAATGAGCCCTGAATTACATGTCCATACAGTTCACACCATTTACATACATTTCCCGACATTGAACCCCATTTTCAATTGGTTTGCAATTAGTTTGTATTTCATATCAATTTAATAAATTATTTNGCCACTAAATGAGCCCTGAATTACATGTCCATACAGTTCACACCATTTACATACATTTCCCGACATTGAACCCCATTTTCAATTGGTTTGCAATTAGTTTGTATTTCATATCAATTTAATAAATTATTTAAATATTCTTTCAATATAGGGATCCATTCATATCTGATATTTATTAACACAAAAATAGTTTGTAGTAAGTTAATATAGACATCTAATAGTAATAAGACCAATTGACCTAGCTAAGTTCCATTTCCCGTTCATCAAACCTTAATTCCCCAAACCAACCACTCTAACTTGTTGCAATATATTTATATTTTTGCTTATTATAATTGCAATATATATTATTAATGGATTTCGACATACTGTGTATAAATGAATCATAAAATGAGTGATGGCAATGTCTAACGTGAAACCCCTAATCCAATGGGTTTACCAATAAATCGATAGCATTGTTGTGAAACAAAACACAACTCATTATAAAATTAATAATTAATGTTAAAAGTGTTTGAAAACGTTTGGATTGGAGTGAATTATGGTTTTGCTAATAACGATCTCCAATGAGTGATAAGTTGTTAAAAAGTAGTTTAGGTTTAATTGGTAGCAATGAGTTGAGGTCTAGTGGTGTAGTGGTGAGTGAGTGTACAGTTTGGAGGCATTCCTGTATTGAGTGCTCTCTATAAGGCATACGATTAGAGAAATATTTTAACAAAACTTTTGTGACATTTATTGCTTTATTGAATACAAAAGCGATTGTAATTGCAGTGAATATTACCGTCATTTG